GATAATGATTAACTGTTTTAATGGCATTCATTCATTCATTCTGTGCTAACTACTCATGCAGAAAAAAGGGTTATGTAAAATGACATTAGAAGAAAATCATTTGTAATCGTTGCATCGGGCTGCACTTTGAGGAGACATTAGGAGTAAATCCGTGGCGTGGTAGGCTTGTGCTTTATCTTCTGATATTTACTGAGTTTACTGGTGCATGAAAAGCTTTCAGCAAGAATAGCAGATGGGATGGACCTTTCATAGGTAATGCTATCTACCAGGTTATTACTTCTATATATTGATAGTAAAGTAATCTCCAAGATATCATGCTACAAATATAGATTATTTAAATGTTTGTCACACCAAAAAGAAAGAAAGAAAGAAAAAGAGCTGCTTTCATAAATAGTTCATTTGGTATCCATTAGGTCAAAGTCTTCAGATAAATATTTCAACTTAAAAAAAGTTCCAGAACTGCGTTTGTTCCCTGCATTTAACTTGCTGTCTGCAGTATACACATGTGTGACAGAACCCTGAACTTAGAACTAATAATCGGTTGACACATTCTGCTTTAAATTGGACCTTTACTGCTAATTAAAAAACAAAGACATGCTCCAAGGCAGAAGTATTAAGTCACAAATTTATGTTTCTAGCACTTGAAATAGCTGTAAGATTTTTGTTAGATCGTAGTATGAAAACTTGTCCACTGGAAATCGTTACCAAGTTTCCAGTACTGTGTTCTAATACGGAAATGCTCTCTAATTAGTGAAGATCTGGGCTGATTTCATTCCTATTAAGTCCTAGTACATGATAGTTTATTAAAATGAGAGTATGTAGATAGTGTTTGTCATGTCATTTACTAATTAATTATTGTGAAACAGTTTAGAATTTCATAGCACAATATAAGCACAGTTGCTATTTTTATTAGTAATAATGGAAGTTTGTAACTAGTGACATTATTCAGATGAATGAACATTCAAATGTGTGCACTTCATCCATGGGCATAAATGAACCAGAGGGGCTAAATCTGAGGCTGTTTGAATGAGATTACTTTCCAAATAAAATAAGCATCAGCATGAAACATGCTTTCAAAATCTTGATTTAAAAGGACCTCTTTATCCCTAGTATTGTAAGACGGAATTCCTGTTCTCTGTATTACTAACTCCTTCCTAATTCTGCCAGAGTAGGTGCCACACTTTCAGACACTTAGGAAGTTGTGTTAATTTATTCAGGCATTTTAATACATAACAGCTTAATTTGATAGGTCGTCTTTAGTGACTAAAATGTATTGGATGCCCACTATGGGCAATGTACTTTACATATGCACTACTTCGTTATTCATTTAGTAATATTTACTGAACTGCTATACACCTGGCCCTGCTCCAGAATCTGGGGTACAGCAGTGAACCAAGAGCAAGCAAATCCCTGTGGGGGAGGGGGGCATGGGTGTATAGGAAAAACAAATAAGTAATACACAGTACATCAGATGAAGTAAGTACCGTGGAGTTTTAGGAAAGGGCACTGAAGCAGGGAAGTGGGAAGCACCATTCAAAGAGAGCTTGAGACTTTAAATAGGGTGATGGGGGGGGGGCCTTACTCGGAAGATGACATTTGAGCCAAGAGATGAAGGAATTCTCCATGTTTATCTGGGGAAAGAGTGGTACAGGCAGATGGAACAGCCCCGGGACTACCTGTGATTTCCTCAGACTTGGGCAGTACAATCAAGTTCCCCGTGCCTGGTGCCCGGAATGCCATCCCAGTGAGAGCTTCCCCGAAAGTTGACCTGAGTCACCACCGCTGACTCTCGTTCACGTAACTCTATGTCAGTTGCCTGCATACCGTTCATTACTCTCTGACAGTGTGTGCTGTGTGTGTTGTGTTGGTTTTATTTATCTGTCTTCCACCACAGCGATGTGAGCAATGATTTTGTTTTGCTCACTTCTCAGTCACCTAACCGTAGAACACTGACCGGCGTGTGTCAGGCACTTAGTATTGTTTTAAGTCGGTCAGTGAAAGAATGCACGCCCGAGCTCATGCCCGGTGCCCGAGCTCATGCCCGGTGCCCGAGCTCATGCCGGTGCCCGAGCTCATGCCGGTGCCCGAGCTGGCGGAGGCGCCCTTGGACCGATGTTCTGCTCTGCTCATCCCATTCCTTTCTCCCACGCACAGTCTGGTTTCTGGGAAAAGTCACCCATGTTCTGTTCCTCAGCATCTTTCTACTTGTCATAAACCCGTCCCAGTCTGACTTTGCCCCCACCCCTCAAGTGAAACTGCTCAGAACGGTTTCCCCTTGCAGACAACCCCTAATTGCTAAGTGCCGGGGGTGGGGGGGGTCACTTGCCTTCATCTTACTTGACCCATCAGTAGCTTTCGACAGCTTCTTCCTTGAAACATTATCTGTTCTACCTTCACGTGCATCACACCATCTCTCTGGATTTTCTTTCTTTCCCTTAAACAACATATGCTCACAGTTGCAGTTTTGTGTTACAAGCAATATACTTACCTTATTATTTCTACTTAATAATTTCCTGTCTTCCTGGTGCTCTACTACCTGAACCAATTTATAAACCACTATAATGAATGGTATATGCTTACATACATAGTTGTTAAAACTGTGTTTTAGCTAGTCTTAATTTATAAACCGCTTTGTCTATTGGAGTAGAAGATATTTGTTGGTTGTGTTTCCTATTATATCCTGATTGATAACAGCTGAGGCTTAAAGTCCCGCTGTGTGTGGCACTTGAAGTCTTTCTCAGCAGACGGGACCCTTCGGGCTGCGGGCGTCCTCCAGGATCCACTTCAGGAAATAGGCGCCAAAGTTAAGTTGTTTGAGGAAGAATGTTATAGACTGTGTTTTCCTATGTCAAGAAAATAAAACTTGCCACAGGGAACAACAGCAAAATTAGTCGGCAGACCAGCACTTTGTTATAGGGTCCTGATGAAGAACATAAGAAATAAACTTAGCCAAGTTTATTCCCATCCTTTCGATCTCAGAAAAAGGGGCGGGGAGGGATTAGGAAGAGAAGGGAGACTAGATTTTTCTCCTTCTGTTTAAGGCCCCGCTGCCTCAGGGGCTTTGCTTAATCCATTTCTACCTTTCTTCTGTTTTCAACTCGTCCATCTCTACCAGCGTTCTCAAGGGTTCGTGTCCCTCCCATTCTAATAACAGACTTCCCTATCACCCCCCTTCCCCCACCCAGGTCCTACCTGGTCTCATTCCGCCCCTTCTTACTCATGCTTCTCAAAATCATATGTACCTGCTGTCTCCTTTTCTTCACCTTCATTTTCTTTTTTTCTTTTTAATTTCTTATCGTGAAATGTAATATACATACTGGAAAGTGCATAAAACATGTACTGTCTAATAATTTAGTTATATAACACACTCAAATTATGTAAGATGGCTATCTTCGAGAAATAGAAAATCATAGCTACCCCAAAACCCTCTGCATGCTATTCTCTCCCCTCCTGGAAGGAACCGCCTTCTGGGCCTTGTGGGTAATCATTTCCTTGCTCTTCTTTGTAGCTTTACCACCTTTGTGTGCCTCTCTTCACTATTCAGCCTCTGCCTTCTGCTTTCTACCTTCCCTTTGGTTCCAAATTCTAACAATAAGGTTATCCATGAACAATTGTCAAACCTAATGGATGTTTCTCGGTTCTAATCCCACTAGGCCTCTCTGCTGTATTTGACCTTGTAGGTCAGTTCAGCCTTTGTGAACCTGTTCTCTAAGGTCTGTGACTGTGTTCTCCAGTGGCTCTGCGCCCTTTCATCTTTCCTTCTCTCCCCCTCAAATGTTGTTATGCCAAGGAGTCCAGCCTTCGCTCACTGCGGCTTCTGCTGGCAGTGGCAGTCCTGCTCACTCTGGTCATCTCAGCCTCTGCCGTTTGACAGATCACTTCTAGATCTGATCAGTTCAGACATGTTGCCCAAGCTTTAGCCTTACATAGACAGCTGCCTGGTGGACATCTGCACCTAGATGTTCCACGTCTGAGACAGATTTCATCATCTTCCTCTCTACACCGGCTCCTCCTCTTCCTGCCTTCTTCTCTGAATCAGTTGTTTGCACCACGGCTCTCCACCAGTTCACTCAAGATAGAAACCTGGAAAACACCCCGATTCTCCTTTGCCTCGTCCGTCTTACATTTTTAGTGCTCAAGTAGAACCAGTTCTACTTCCTAATGTAGTTCCCAAATCTGTCCCCTTTGCCTAACCCTTGTTACTCTTACAGTTTGGGCCCTCATCGCCTCACCAAGAAGTGCTAACAGCCACCTCATTGGCCTTCCTCCTGCATCTGCCCTTCTCCCGCTCATATCCATCCTCCTTACAGCTACAAGCCAAAGTGGTTTTCCCAAAATGCAATTCCAGCTGTCTGCTTCTACACTTAGAACCTTACACATAACACTCGATAAAGCCCCAGCTCCTTCACACGACTTACAGGTCCTTCCAGTTTTTTTGCCATGCTTTCTCCAGCTGCATTTTCCTTACACCTGGTACGCTCTTTCTTCGTTTCATGTGCTTGTTCATGCTGTCCGCTCTACCGAGGATTCTCCATTGGACTTACACCTAACTCTCGCAGGGTAAATTTAAATTTCATGCTTCCAGGAAGGCTTTCCCCAGCTGCCTTACCCATCTGATGGTGGGTCTCCCTTGACCCTCCATTAATAATGCTTCTGTCACTGTGCTGGCATCATCCTGTCATTACCTGTTTTTATGCCTGTCGTGTTCTTCTAGACTGTTACTCTTTTCTGCCTGAGATACCTGATACCTGACACAGTGCCGGATGCAATGCTGAAAGGAATGAGGAGAGAGGAAAGTGCACAGTGATGTTAAGAATAAAAGGCCCGTTATCACGTTATATGCTTTAATACAGAGTCATCTGACTGTGGGGTCTCCGTACCAAACTTTAGGAGGTAGTATTGCTAAGGACTCTCTTTCTGAAAAAGAGCTTTTTTGGAAGGAATGAGGTTTTAATTTTCTCCTAAAATTTAATGAACCTTTACAAATATTTATGTTGCAGACTAAACCTGGACCACCCAAAAAGCCGAAGACCCCTGCTGGACAGTCGGCCCTGGTGTATTGCTACAACTGTGGTCAGGAAGGCCATTACGGACACGTGAGTCTGAGCGCCGTTGGGCATAGAGAGTTCTGTTGTTCCAGACGCAGTGGATGAGAAATGAACTCAAAGCGAATGTAATGCCGAACGTTTACTTTTTAATAAACCGATATCTTGAAGTGAGATTCAATAGAGTTTCAACTCATTGACTTCTCCCATCCCTGCCAGAGTAACAGATCTGTCAGAGCTTACTCCTCTAATTGATTTAAATGTATGTGAACAGGTTAAGCTAAAACAAACACAGCTCACAAAATCAATCTGGGAAATAATAGTAGTGAACAGAATGGTAGCCGTTCTCATGCATTCTAATGATCACCATTGCTTTAGAACAGCCAAATTATGGTTTTAGGTTTCTACTTTAACCTTGTAGGTTTGCCTTATAGCTTTCAGAACCCAAAAAGTTCCAGAAAGTCAACAAGAGAATAAATCTAAAACTAGTTGAAAGAAGGAAATAATAAAGATAAGAAACAAAATTATTGAAATAGAAAACAAAGTTAGTAACATCAACAGTAGCTGGTTCTTTGAACACATTTTCTTTTCAAAAGAAAAGAGACTTCTGGAAAAGCTACTCACAGGAAAAGAAAAGATACAAGTATAAATGAGTTAAAAGTATAAATAGTTTAAAATACAGTATAATTTTTAATTTATAAAGCTTACTGTATAAGCTTTATAAATTTCAAAGTGAAATTTGATAATTATCTAGGAAAATATAAATTAATCAAAATGACTGAAGAACAAGCCTACTTGAACTAATACCAGTAAAGAAATTGAATTAGTAATCAGAATTTTCCACACTGAAATATACCAGACCCAATAGTTTCATAGTCAAGTTTAACCGAAACTGTATTCAGAAACTCTGTCCAAGAGAGCACTACTCAGCTTGTTCTGTGAAACTGGTACAACTTAAAGCCATTGCAGAATACAGGGTCCAGCAGAAGTAACGCCTGCTTGAGTGTGGTTGGTAGGGTAATAATAAGGGTGTAACCGTTTACAGTCTCACTTTGAACATTTCACCTAAAATGTCATATGGTGTGCTTGAGTGTTACATTGTTATGTTACAGAATTACGTGCTTATATAAGATTTTGTAATAAAAAGGGGCCTTACTTGTGCCGGACCCTGTATTTACAGGACATCATTTCTATGCAGTTCAAACTTCAACACTTCAAATTTGCATTGTTGTTTATTGGCGTATTCGTTAGTAGTAAGAATATAAAGCATATGAAGATGGTAGATACCAAATTTAAGGCAGTGGCACCTTCAGGAAAGGGAATGATATAAATGAGAAATAGAAAAGAGTTACACAGATTATTTTAGTTATTTTGGTAATGCTTTAATTCTTAGGGAGAAAAACACATAAATTAAGGTAACATTAGAAAGCTGAATGGTAGGTACAGATTTCCATTTATTTTCTATACTTAAGTATATATCTTAAAGGACTTGTAATTTTTTAATCCCTGCAAATTATGTTCCTAAGTGTACATACATATGTACCAGCTTGGTCAGGTGTCTTAGAATTACCAATTACTTATGTAATGCCAAAATTACGATAAATCAGCTAAACCTCATGTGGATATTTCACATACTTTCTTCCTAAGAGGTATTCTAATTTTTCTTCAAGGTGGCAAAAAACAGCAATGGGAAAGTTCCAAAGGGAAAGCTTTTTCAAAGAAAAGATACTTGGTCTCAGACGTGCCAGCAGATATGTGTCACAGATCACGACAAACAGAGCCTGCTCTGTGGGGCGTGTCAGGCCGAGGGTGCGTGCGGGTCTGGGAACAACCACCAAGGGCAGGTGGGGTCAGGAAAGTAGGGAGCTGGCCTAGGGCGATGAGTGACAGGAGTGATTGCGTCTCGACTGGAAGGAGTACAAAGAAGAGAGGGCTCCTTTGGGGTGTTTCACAATCATCTTGGATTGTTTTCAAACTAGATACAACCCACCACCACCCTGCTCCCCACCGTAAGCGTCGACTGCCCAGAGGAGCAGTGAGTGTTGAGTTAAAATAAGCTTACCGACCACATGTGTGGCAGGAAGAAGAGCACAGAGCTAGGAAGCCACACCCACATTCAGGGTGTAAGTGAGAAGGGAAAGCTCCCATGGGAGGCTGTTGAAGAGCCAACCAGCATAGGTCTGATACAACATAAGGCCAGATAAAATAAACCCCTTTGCAGGTATGAGGCCTGTGGTAGGGACCCATTGCTGTCAACACAGACTGGGGGAGCGGTTTGGCAGGCAAGATTGAAAAAGATAAGGGTTTCATAGTAAAGAAGTAAGGGAAGAAAATTCCAGTCCAGAAAAAAATAGCATGTGCACGTGACTGGGTCAGGCTGGGCGACCCTCCCACTGTCCCAGCAAGGCCACACGGCGTAGCGCCAACAATGAGTGTCAGTGATGGGGCGCTCTTCTCTCGTCACCATGCTCCCTAGTCTTGCAGCAGGTGTGTCTGAACAGTGTGCCCTTGTGACACCCTAATCCCCAGTACAATTTGCAGGAATGTGCAGAGAGGCGGATGTTCAACCAGACCTTTCCGACGTCTCCGTTCATCTACTACTATGATGACAAATACGAAATTCGGGAGCGAGAACACAGAATAAAACGGAAAGTAAAAGGTATGTTGTTAGAATTCTTGCTAGATCAACTTTGCAGTAGTTCCTTAATGTCTTTTTTTGCACTGTCTTTACCTGGAGTGGGGGTCATTGGTTAACACACAGAATGGTTTTAATAATTACCATAGACACTGGAGCTTTCTTGATCTCCAGAAGTCAACACCCACTTCAAAAATCGTGTGTTGTAATCTCTTCACAATAAACATTTTTCTAACATAATGATCATATCAGGAAATGTCCAGAAAATACCCATCCATGTCTGTAGGCAGAGTTTTTAAAGGCTCCTTTGAGATTTTTCTATTTGCCTAGTTACTATTTTTTCCCTTCGTATATGTCTCAAATTTTTCATGGAAAGAAAGGCTTTCCCGACTGGGTGAATTTCTGGGGCTTCCCCGAAGAAGCCACTTCCCATCAGCCTTGGTTACAAAGCAGAGCCCCAGGTTCGCAGCCATCCTCTGCAGTTTGGTTACGTTCTGTTACTAGAACGTAAAGTTCTTTCTCACCAAATTATCCTCTGATGTAAGCCTGTTTTCTCTGCCTGCTCTTCCTTGTGACGTTCTTCAAGGCAGTTCATGAGGCTATTCTGGCTTTTGGGACGAAACCGTTCTGTTTTTCAAGTTGACCTATACCTTGTCGACTTGTTTGGCCTTTACTGTTATTCTTTTCCAGACTCTCTTTAAAAGATTAAAAAGAAATACATGAAAGTATCATCTCTGGATTAAAGGATTGTGGGTGCTTCTCTTTTATTTTCTTTATGCTTTTTTGTATTTCCCAAAATTTTTATAATGAGCATTTATAAGTCTTACAATCAGAGAAAAGCCATTTTTTTTCCTTTTTAACTGGTTATATTGACAGCTGTGGCACAGATCCACTTTGAGGTTTGCTGTATTTGTCGGCATTTTTATTTAATGCTGAAGTCTATAAGTCTATTACTTATTTTTCTCTATATTCCAAAATTCATTTTTTGGTCTCCTAAATATACTGCTTTGCACTTTATTTCATTGTGGGGGAGGGTCGCACTCCTCTTTAGTCTTTGAAGGTTTAGTGACATGTTAACTTCTATCCCTCGCTGTGACCTCATCTCCCACCCCCCCCAATCAGAGTCACCGTCATCAGACACTTGCAGTAAGAGTCAAATCCTAAGAAAACTTGGCGTCAGATCTGCACTAAAACCTCTGAGATACACGTGTGTGCACGTGTACACACTCAGTCTCTAAGCCAGTGATCTCTCCTCTGGAGGATTAATCTGTCCAGGTTGGCATCCACCTCTAAGTGCTGTGGCCAAACTTGATCTTCAGAGTGTAATTGAAATGTCACGTGAGGCTGTCAGTAGGACACATGCATCTTGCTTTCCCTTATCATTGAGGGCTGTCCATTGAATTGGTCAGACGTGACGTTTCTTCACAAAGCTAAAATGATTAGCGCCCTCACTGGTCCTCGTCTGCACTGTTTAACTTAATTGTATTGAGCAGAATAAATGTCATCAGATTTCTGGATGTTTTTCATTGTTAGCGATCAGAAATATAGAACTGTACCACACAGTTTTTAGTGAGTAATTTTTACCTTAGTGAAGGCTCTTTAGAATGTCTTATCATTAATGCGTTTAAATGTCTGGCTCCCCTCTCTGCGAAGGTACTTACAGACCTGGGGAAGCTCTGCACGGACTGTCCAGCTGCAGGATGTGCAAAAACACTTTTATGTTTTCCAGAACTCCAGAAACATGGGAATCTCCCAAGGCAGTTCAAGAGGCTGCATATGAAAGCAGCAAGTCAGAGGTCCCACCATGACGTGAGGAAGGGCCAGGCCTCGTGGAGGAGCACCAGGTGGCCTCCAGAAAAGAAGGAGACCCAGAAAGAAACGAGCAGAAACAACAGAGAGCGTGAAAAGCACAGGAAGACCGACAGGTGTCACGACGTGGAGGAGGACTTTCCCAGGGGCCCAAAAACACACTCTTCCCCTGGCGCTTTCAAAACGCAGAAGCCTCGCAAGTCCGTTCACCACTCCCATTGCCACAAGCCAAGAGAAGACAAGCTGCCCAAAGAGTCTAAGCGGGGCAAGCACAGGAAAAAGGAGGGCTGCCTGGAGGAGGAAGACAATGATAATTTGTTTCTCATTAAGCAGAGGAAAAAAAAGTCTAAACTGTGAGACAGTTTCTGATTTGGTTTTCTGGCGTCTGTCTGCCCTTCATGTCTGTAACATTCTGGCAGTATTTTTATCATCCAAGATTGAATAATGGGAGTTTGTTTTATTTTGGTTTTGGGGTGGTTTTTTTTTTTTGGTTTTTTGATTTTGGGGGTAATCTCGCCCATACCTAGCTTTGCTGAACAAAGACCTTAGAGCTCTGTTCTCTGTGTCCAACGGGTTGTTAGGTAAAAAACAGAAAGATGAACCCAGGCTTCTTGCCTTGTTCCAGTTGGTCATTTTCACTCAGAATCTTACAGGTGGGAAAAATTAATCTTTTCAGGGGAACATTAAAAAGTGCTTTGGACAAATAAAAGCTCCACAAATGTAATTCATCTGCAGTGTATGTAAATGAAATCCTTGCAGGAAGAAAAATTAACACTAATATGAAAAATTCATCCGTTTCATCATTACCCTTGTTTTAACATTAGAAAGATAATAGCTACAGATTTCCACTTCTCATGCTTCTGAAGCTGGCGTCAGAGTCTTCCTTTAGTCCAGGCAGCACGGGGCTGCGAGACGGAGGGGCCGTCCTGGGGCCCTGCGTGGGCGGGGCGGGGCGGGGTGGGGCGGGGCTGCTGCTGCAGATCCGAGTGAGGACTCCGTCCAGCAGCATGCAGGTCACAAGCCAGAGTTCCTGAAACAAGGAAAAGGAATCATCAGACATTTTGACACAATCACATGAAATCATTTTTATAGTCACACCTCAAGAAGATGTCACTCGGATATATAAAAATGAATTTGCCCAACTTAAAAGATTGTTCTGTTTTCATGGGTTTTTTAATTGCCATGGAGCTATACAGAAATTTTTGTACCTGTGAACCTTTTATACTTATCAAAGCATAATGTTAAAATTATTAGCAGAAAAATAAAGTGTCAGAAATGGATTAAATAAGTGTGTCTGTGATGTAAAAAGACAGTGAGTGTTTGGGTGACAGAGGGCATACTTGGGTTGGACAGGTGACCACCGTTGTGAGATCTGCACTAACCGGAGTTGAAATGCTCTGCGGCCCAAGTGCTAGTTCTGTGCCATAGCAAAAGGAGGTAGCATCAGTTAACTGGGCAGTTCTGTCATATCAGATTCTTAAACTGGCGTTTGACTCTTTGTGAAATACACAAACTGCCATGTGTCTGGTAGGGTCAGCCCTCCTGTCTTTTTCAGGGGAAGAATCTCTCCTCCCAAGTCAGCTTCCCTGTGAACTGCAGTTCTGCTGTCTTCGGTCTGCACCGTCCGTGTGGCCGCCCGGCTCTCAGCCGAGTGTCAGGGCTCACCGCCCTCCTCCGCCCAGTACCCCGCTTCCCTCAGCAGTCCCCGCTTAGTTCATGTCCATGGGTCGTGTATATAAGTTCTTCCGCTTCTCCTTTTCCTACACTATTCCTAACCTCCCCCTGTCTATTTTGTACCTACCTGTTATGCTTCTTATTCCCTGCACCTTTCCCCCATTTCTCCTTCCCTTTCCTTCCCCGCTGATAACCCTCCATGTGATCTCCATTTCTGTGATTCTGTTCTTGTTCCAGTTGTTTGCTTAGTTTGGTTTTGGTTTTGGTTTTTTTAGATTCAGTTGTTGATAGTTGCAAGTTTGTTGTCATTTTACTGTTTGTATTTTTTATCTTCTTTCTCTTAAATAAGTCCCTTTAACATTTCATATAATAAGGCTTGGTGGTGACGAACTCCTTTAGCTTTCCCTTGTCTGAGAAACACTTTATCTGCCCTTCCATTCTAAATGATAGCTTTGCTGGATAGAGTAACCTTGGTTGTAGGTGCTTGCTTTCATCACTTTGAATACTTCCTGCCAATCCCTTCTAGCCTACAAAGTTTCTTTTGAGAAATCAGCTGTTAGCCTTATGGGAACACCTTTGTAGGTAACTCTCTTCTTTTCTCTTGCTGCTTTTAAGATTCTTTCTTTAGCCCTAGCAGGTGTGGCTCAGTTGATAGAGTGCTGGCCTGTGAACTGTAGGGTCGCTGGTTCAATTCCCAGTCAGGGCATATGCCTGGGTTGTGGGCCAGGTCCCCAGTAGGGGACACTTGAGAGGCAACCACACCTTGAAGTTTCTCTCCCTCACTTTCTCCCTCCCTTCCCCTCTCTAAAAACAAATAAATAAATTTTTTTAAGATTATTTTTAACCTTCGGCATTTTAATTATGTGTCCTTGTGTGGCCTTCTTTGGGTCCAACTTGTTTGGGACTCTCTGTACTTCCTGGACTTATATGTCTATTTCCTTCACCAAATTAGAAATGTTTTCTCTCATTATTTTTTCAAATAACTTTTCAATTACTTCCTCTTCCTCTTCTCCTTCTGGCATCCCTATGATTTGGACATTTGGAGATGTCCCAGAGTCTTCTTGTGCTCTCCTTGTTTTTTGAATCCTAGTTTCTTCATTCTGTACTGGTTGACTGTTTATTTTTTCCTTATGTTCCAAATAATTGATATGAACCCCGGCTTCCTTCCTTTCACTGTTGGTTCCCTGTCGATTTTTCTTTATTTCATTTAGCATAGCTTTCATTTCTTCCCTTATGCTTTCGCTCTACTCAGCAAGTTCTGTTGAGCATCTGATGGCCAGTGTTTTGAACACTGCATTTGATAGGTCGGCTCTCTCCATTTAACTTCATTCTTTTTCTGGGGTTTTTGTTCCATCCTTTAATCTGGGCCACATTTCTTTGTCTCTTCAAATTGGCAGCCTCCCTGTGTTTGTTTCTGTATAGTAGGTAGAGCCGCTTTGACTCCCTGTCTCAGCACACCTGTTGAGTTGTATGGGTATTTGCCAGGGCCGGGTGACCCACTTCATCATTTTGGGTCTCTGTCAGGGACAGGGGTCAGAGAGAGGACAGTGACGTTGCCTGGCCCCTGGAGGCTTGTGCAGCACTCACCCCGTTTCCAGTCACTTCACCCACTTTCCGGATGCGACTCGCGCCCTTCCAGCTGCTGCCCTGGTGGTGGCTCCCAGAGCGGGTGGGTTTGCATACGTTCCAGGTCCATGCGGCCCTTTAAACAGACTCTCCTGAGAAACCAGCAGTTCCTTCCTCCTCCCCAACCCCAGCAGTTTTTACAGCCAGAAGTTACGAGGCTTTATTTTCCCGGTGCTGGGACCCCGAGCTGCACGACCTGGCCTGGGGCTGGGGTCGCTCACTCCCAAGGTATCCCTCCCGGTTTTTATCCGCCACACCTGTGTGTGGGACCGCCCGTCCCCCGCTGCGTCCTCTCCAGCACCACACTGCGTCCTCTCTGCCCCTCCTGCCCATCTGGATGAGTGTGGCTTCTTTAAATCCGTGGTTGTTGGGCTTCCATACAGTTCAGTTTTCTGGCAGTGCTGGGTGTTTCTTGTTTTGAGGTTAGTTGTGATTCTTGTGGTTGCGTGAGGCGACAAAGCATGTCTACCTACGCCTCCATCTGGACCAGAAGTCCCTGACCCAGGTCTTACCCTGCTGAAAGTGCTGGCGGGCTTCACAGAGGGGTACGCCTTGAGATAACAGGCGTTATTCCTCAGTAGGACCCAGGACAAGCGTGGCTTGTTATTGATGTGGTGTGACTGGCATCCCTTCGGATCTGAGGGCAGAAACGGGATTGCTGCTCTGTGGCATCTTCCACACAGAAGACTGTTTGGAGGAGGGAAGAAAGGAAGCTCTTTTTCTATTTGTTTCTGCACATTCTCTTATTTTTCCTCCCCAGTTTTAGTTTTTTATCAGACAGACATTTTGTTCTGGGGTGTAATTTACCCTTCGGGTCCACGTCACTTTTATGCAGATGGGAAGGGTGGCTGAGCTACTTGTGGGCATGAAGATGGCGAGGAAAGACCGAACACGGAGGAGCCTCTGCTCCACTTCCTCTTCACGGCCCTCGGCACCTCTTAGCAAGCATTCAGGTTAGTCTGCACACACCTACTTTCTATGCAAGAACGAGGACTTTAAAATACAGAGATTTGACATTCAAATAAGACTTTTTAAAGGTTTTATTTATTTTTAGAGGGGGGAAGGGCAGGAGAGGGGAGAGAAACCTCAGTGTGTGAGAGATACATGGATCCGTTGCCTCGCTTGCCACCCCCTCCCCCCAACTGGGGACCTGGCCTGCACCCCAGGCTTGTGCCCTGACTGGGAATCCAACTGGCGACCTCTCAGTCCTCAGGGCGGTGCTCAGTCCACTGAGCCACACCAGCCAGGGCCCAAATAAGACTTTAAATGCATAAGTACAATTAAGAAAAAACAGCAGATGTCCCAAGCAGTGAGGATCCCTATCTTGCTAGGATTGAGGAGACTCTCAAAGTCTTCTGCCCCTGGCCCCACTTTGATTAGGAGCAGCCTGAGTGGCTCCTTTCCTGGGTTCTAACTGGGTTCACCTCCGGCATTTTTAGAGTAGAGCAGAGAGAAACCGTCTCCCATTCTCGTGATGGAAGGCCCGGCTTCCGTGGCCCCGCTGTGCCCGTTGTTTTGGAACCATGCTGTGAAGGGTACCTGTTGTCAAGCTGTTTATTTTTGTGTTTTGCAAGGAGTACATACTCATTTTAAGAGGGATTTTTTTTAAACATAAAAGTCATGCCTGATTCTTCTACACAAAGATATGGTTAACATTCTTAACATCTATGCTAGATGTTATTTTATACATATGTATGTTGTTTTGTAACATGCTTTTGTACTTAATAGTAAAAACATTTTTAATCAAATATATAGCTCATTGTTTTCCATGGCTACATGAAATCCTATTGTATAGCTGTACCATAACTGATTTAATCAACTTCCTGTTGCTGAACTTTTTGGTTGTTTCTGATTTTTATTATTTTTTAAAAAATCAAAAAAAATCTTTTTACATTTATCGTATCTTTTCCAATTATTTCATTGTGGTAAAATAGAATTTATAGGTCCAAAAATGCACATATTTCATACAAATTTTAATATATTGCCAAATTGCATTCTTCACCATGTGTGAGAGTGTTCATCCCCCTGTTTCTACAATAACAGAATATTTTCCTGTTTGTCTTTGCCACTCTAATGGGCAAAAAGAAACATTTGTTAGTGCCATAGTGAAAAGATTGATGTGTGCTGTGTTTGTGTGAGGAGAAACCAGGTTGACGTATCTCTCTGTTGATAAAAGATATGGACAGAAACTTCTCATAAGAAACAACTTATGAGGATTCTTCTGCCAACAAAAGGTTACATGCAAAGTGAAACAGCCCGTTACTCCTTCGTAGTGACCTTAGCCCCTGTGGTGTTGCCTCGGCCAGACTGGCCTACTCCACTGTGACGACCACGCCAGCCAACATAGGTCCTTCCCTGTTTGATGTTTCTGTCGCCTTCCGAGTTATTTAGTAAACAGATACTTGCTGTGGGCCTTTTTTATGCCAGTAGTCTTCTTGCTTGAGATTGGTTGACTTTATTAAGAGAAGAGAGAAATCTCAAGTCCAGGGACTAAGAAACAATTGAAGAAACAAACACAAAAACGAAGGCCCTGCCATGCGGGTGGGGAGCGGCAGGAAGCGTTGAGAGGGTGGGCGGGCTCCGTCCTGCCCAGGACTTCCATGGGTCTCTCGAACAGGTTTTTTCCCAAGGCAACAGAAGGAGGGCAGCCGTTCAAGGAGAAGGAACCATGTCGGTAAAGGCGTGGGGATAGGAAACAGCAAGGATGTGCCCCATCTTTGTTTCTTGGGGCTATGGTAACAGATCCCTACAAACTAGATGGCTTAAAACAACAGAAATTTACTTTTACAGTTCAGGAGGCCAGACGTCCAAAGCCAAGATGGCAGCAGAGCTGGTTCCTTCGTGAATTCCGAGGGAGGATCCATGCATTCATGCCTCTCCTAGATTCTGGTGGCTGTCGGGGGTCCTTGACCCAGTTTCAGCGCAGGTCATAGCCCTTCCCAGGGCCTTTTTGGGCATACAAGTAGCCCTACGTGCTTAGAACTG